GCTTTGATCTTAGGGCCCGAAGCAACTTTTTGGAGCGCGGCGTTGCTCTCCCTACTCCACTCGCCGAGGGCGCCCACCGCCAGCGGAAGCACACTCACAGCCTAGCACGAAGGCGCGGACTGGTTCATATTGTTCTTTCTTTTCCGTGCTTCCTTCCTATCTTGCACTGAGATGCCGGCGCCATCGCGAAGTCCCCCATAATTGCAGACTCACCGCGCACGAGGACTACATCAGGTTTTGGTCACATCCGGTCTGATTCTACGGAAAAACTTGCCAGCCGCGCGCTATGGCTGCCTGTTTGTATACATGGCCGATGCTGTTGTGCTTCTGCATCCATAGGGGTGAGTGGCTCCTACATTAGGAGTTGACATGACCCACAGACTCTACTGCGGGATGGCCATAGTTCTTCCTTACTTTTAGGCACTGGCATGAACACGATTTACTCGTAATTTTATTATTAGTAGTGGTGTTGTACAATTCATTGTAAGTAGTGTGAATTCCAATAGTGTATAATTTATACTATATCCTATTCGCTATGCGGTACGCTGCGATGTCATCAGAAGATGCTCAAACACTATTGAGAATTATAAATTAGTAAGCAATTATTTGTGTTTCTGATTTGTTCAATTAGTTTCATTCACTTATTACCATTCAAATGTTTTTCACATGCCGTCCTTGTACAATGAAAAATAATATTATTTAATATGTAGGCTCTATATCATATTCACGAAAGAAAATTGACGGCGTTCTTATACTATAAATGCAATTTTAAACACAGTTTTACTCACCCACCTCAAAAAAATACGCAATATCTATACAGTCGCAGTGCTTCAGAAAAGACGCCGGGAGGGATGGGATGACCAGACTCGACTGAAAGTTCTTACAGCCCTTTCTGTCCACGACACCAAGTTGATTTTTTTCAATGACCCTCCTGGTCTCCAAGACGTCAGTGGTCAACCCGGAAGCGGAGGTTCCTCTATATGTTATTTTCTGAAAGCAAATGACATCACTTCTGATTTATTTTAATCTAACATAATACTTTGTAATTTTAACAGAAAATTTTTAACTCCTTATGACTAGACGTTTTTTTCGTGGTTGTCTCAGCCAAATTGTTCATTTGTGTAGAGCAAGTATGTAATATACATGTTACAAACAGCAATGATAAACAGCATTCATTGGTTGTGGTCCCTGAAAATGGAATAATTACGATGTTATCACACGTGGGCCTTAGAATCTGATTTCCAACACTAAGTTTTTCAGAAAGATATTACGTGCCACCTGTCTTGGGAGTTAGTTTCACATTGTCTCCAAATGTCCGCGTGCATTCGTGCACCTGCTGCTTCCGGTGGATGAGCGGGGGCGTACAGAATAAAAGATTTACGTCGCTGCCAAGGAATGTCAATAATACTAACAGCGTCGAGGTACGCGAAGTTTTCTGTGTGCGAGGCGATCCACCTCAGTTGGTATGACTGCTCATTTAAACAACAGTTGCCAGCGGCGGCTTCGTCAGAATCGGCTGCTTTCGTCGAAATTGTCTGTCGCGCCAGCCTGGCCAGTGCTGGGCTCTGCTAGCACGCGGCGAAGGATAATGAAAATGCTAGGTGTCCTTAAGCCCATCGTTTTCACTCACTGCTATGAGGTGCGCGGTGTTTTGAAGAAAATATTGAGCGATGCAAGTTTTGAAATGCATGTTCCTATAAAGTTCTTATTTTAAGTTCAAGAGTATAATTTTTTTATTTGATTAAGAGCCAAATTTGAAGGAATTGCAGTGAATATGAAATTGACAAACTTATTCGTTTTAAAAAGAAGACGATAGCGACAACGACGAAGACTACGGTGACAACAAAGACGACGGCGGGAGACTAACAAAAGAAGAAAAGGATTTACAAGTGCAGAAAGAAGAAAAAAAACAGAAAGAAAAAAGTAGACTAAAAACAAAAAAAGAGACCAAAAAGAAAAAAAGACCAAAAAAGAAGATCAAAAAGAGGAAGATCAAAAACAAGAAGTAGAAAAAAAGCAGATTACGAAAAAGAAAAATAGAGCAAACTATGGAACGATGACGAAAAAGCTCAAATTCTATCGGCCACCAGCGCTGCTGTAATTTCGCGACATGTCAATCGCCAATCATAGTCATAGCTCTACAATCCTTAA